TGTTTTGCCTTTCATCCTTCCAGCATGGGACAACCCTCACCAGTTACCAGCACCACACTCCTGGACTCCCCCCAGCCTCTTGAACTGTACTCCAAATAAACTTCTATCCTTTATAAATTACCCAGTTTGTGGTATTCCATTATAGTAACAGAAAACAAATGAAGGCAATGACCATGGAGATAGAGATTAGAGTGATGCAGCCACATATTAGTCCATTCCCACACTGCTATAAAGAGCTACCCAAGCTGGATACAGTGGCTTACACCTGTAATTCCAGCACTTTGGGAGGCTGAGGCAGGAGGATCACCTGAGGTCAGGAGTTTGAGACCAGCCTGGCCAACATGGTGAAACCCCGTCTCTACTAAAAATACAAAATTATCTGGGCATGGTGGTGGGCGCCTGTAGTCCCAGCTACCCAGAAGGCTGACGCAGGAGAATCTCTAGAACCCAGGAGGTGGAGGTTGCAGTGAGCGGAGATCGTGCCACTGCACTCCAGCTTGGGTGACAGACAAAGCGAAACTGTCAAAAAAAAAAAAGCAGAACTTCCCAAGGCTGGGTAATTTATAAAGGAAAGAGATTTAATTGACTCACAGTTCTGCATGGCTGGGGAAGCCTCAGCAAACTTATAATCGTGGCCAAAAGTGAAGAGGAGAAGAAGCAAGGACTTTCTTCACATGGTGCCAGGAGAGAGAAGTGCAAGCAGGGGAAATGCCGGATGCTTATAAAACCATCAGCTCTCATGAGAACTCAATCCCTGTCACAAGAACAGCATGGGGAAAACTGCCCCCATGGGGATTTGTAATCCATAGGGATTACAATTTGAGATGAGATTTGGATGGGGGAAAAGAGCCAAACCATATCAAGCCACAAACCAAGAAATGCTGGCAATCACCAGAAGCTGGAAGAGGCAAGGAACAGATTCTCTTCTAGAGCCTCTGGAGGAGTGCAGCCCTGCTGACAACTCAGTGAAACTGATTTCAGATTTCTGGCCTCCAAAATTGTGAAAGAACAAATTTATGTTGTTTATGCCACAAAGTTTGTGGTAATTTGTTATAGCAGAGGGAATTTGAGGTGACTGTAAGGAGTTATGTAAATTATGTTAAAGAACCTTTGCAGTTGTAAGATGCATTCATTCATTCAACAAATAGTCGAGGCAACATAGAAGAGTAATTAAAAGCACAGACTTTGAGACCAGGCGTGGGGTGGTCCACTCCCGTAATCTGTGTTTTGGGAAGCCAAGGCAGGAGGATTGCTTGAGGCCAGGAGTTCCTTCCAGATCAGCAGGGGCAACATAGCAGGACCCCATCTCTACAAAAAAAAACTTTTTAATTAGAAATAAATAAATAAAAGCACAGACTTTGGACTCAATTCATCTTGGGGGTAAATCCCAGCTGTGTCACCCACTGACTATGTGACCTTGAGCAGATTGCTTAATTCTCTGAGCCTCAGTCTCAACGTCTGCAGACTGGGGATGATAATAGTATTTAACTCAAGGGAAGATTGTGGAAATTAATGAGAAGATGCACATAAAGGGCTTTGTGCTGGGCACAAGGGCCACCGCCCTGTCCCTGCACTAAGAGAGCTCACTGTCATTCTGGGAGAATCTTAGAGACATCAGGGCTGCTGATGGAAAGCCCAGGGAGAAATGGGGACTTGATGGAAGTGGTAGGGATGAGGGTAGGAGAGACTTTCTATAGAAATTGACTTATGAGCTCCCTGAGGAACACAGTAAGCCCTAATTATATACCCTTTTTAATACTATTATTGTACATATTATTAGTATTGATGGGTAAAATATATTTCTGGTTCTTTGATCTTCTAGAAAAAAACATATATGGAAGTTTTTTTTTAGGTTTAAATTTCTTTAAAAAAAAAACAAACTTTTTAGGCTGGGCGCAGTGGCTCACACCTGCAATCCCAGCACTTAGGGAGGCCGAGGACGGGTGAATCACCTGAGGTCGGGAGTTCGAGACCAGCCTGACCAATATGGAGAAACCCCGACTCTACTAAAATTACAAAATTAGCTGGGCTTGGTGGTGCACGCCTGTAATCCCAGCTACTCAGGAGGCTGAGGCAGAAGAATCCCTTGAACCCGGGAGGTGGAGGTTGTGGTGAACTGAGGTTGTGCCACTGAACTCCAGCCTGGGCAACAAGAGAAACTCCATAAAAAAAAAAAAAAAAAAAAAAAAAAAAAAAAAAAAAACTTTTTAAAGAGATGGGGGTTTCACTGTGTTGTCCAGATTGTTCTAGAACTCCTGGCCTCAAGTGATCCTTCCACCCCCTGCCTTAGCTTCTCAAAGTGTTGGGATTACAGACATGAGCCACCAGGACTGGCTCATTTAAATCAATCTTTCTTTCTTTTCTTTTCTTTTCTTTTCCTCTCTCTCTCTCTCTCTCTTTTTTAGAGAAGATCTTGCTCTGTGGCTCAGGTAGCAGCAGTGGCTGAATCATGGCTCACTGCAACCTTGTACTCCTGGGATCAAGCAATCCTCCTACCTCAGCCCCCTGTGTAACTTGGACTACAGGCACACCACTCCGCCTTGCTAATTTTTTGTTTTTATTTTTTTGTAGAGATAATTTTTTTTTTTTTTGAGACAGGGTCTCGCTCTGTTGCCCAGGTTAGGGTACAGTTGCATGTCATGGCTCGCTGCCTCCTGGGTTCAAGCAATTCTCCTGCCTCAGCCTCCCAAGTAGCTGGGATTACAGGTGCCCACCACCACACCCAGCTAATTTTTGTACTTCTAGTAGAGATGAGGTTTCACCATGTTGGTCAGGCTGGTCTCAAACTACTGATCTTATGATCCGCCCGCCTCGGCCTCCCAAAGTGCTAGGATTACAGGAGTGAGCCACTGCCCTGGCCACCAAATTTCTTTTTCTTTTTTTTGTTGGTTTTTTTTTTTTGTTTTTAAGACAGAGTTTTGTTCTTGTTGCCCAGGCTGTAGTGCAATGGCATGATATCGACTCACTGCAACCTCCGCCTCCCGGGTTCAAGCAATTCTCCTATCTCAGCCTCCCAAGTGGCTGGAATTACGGGCGCACACCACCACACCAGCATAATTTTTGTATATTTAGTAGAGACATGGTTTCACCATGTTGGCCAGGCTGGTCTTGAACTCCTGACTTCAGGCGATTCGCCCACCTTGGGCTCCAAAGTGCTGGAATTACAGGCGTGAGCCACTGTGCCTGGCTGATAAATACATTTTTATCCTAAAATAAAATGATGAGTTGTTTTAATATAAAAAATAGTCTACGGCCATACCACCCTGAATGCACCAAATCTTGTCTGATCTCAGAAGTTAAACAGGTTCGGGCTTGGTTATTACTTGGGTTGGAGTTGAATATATAAAAATGAAAAATTATAGACCTAAGACTGGGGGTAAAAAATTGATGGAACATCTAGGCAAGTTGTTGAGGGTCTATGAAGGATGAGCCTTGTAAAGGGAGTCTTATATATGATCAGGTTGATTGGGATTGAAATGAAATTGTTTATCAGTTTTTCTAAAAATGAAACAGTAGTGTCAAGGGTGGACTGAAGCAGGGTGAGTCTGCTCCTCTATGTTTGAAATAAGCTTTCTTAACACGTTGATCTGTTTTTCTTTACCTTTTAAATAATCAGTCTAAAAAATGGAGATTTTGTGTTTTAAGATAGTTTCTTAACTGTATTTATTAGACTGTTTTTTTTCTGAGATGGATTCTCCCTCTGTCACCCAGGCTGGAGTACAGTAGTGTGATCCCAGCTCACTGCAACCTCCACCTCCTGCGTACAAGTGATTCTTGTGCCTCAGCCTCCCTAGTAGCTGGGATTACAGGTGCACACCACAACACCCGGCTAATCTTTGTATTTTTGGTAGAGATGGGGTTTCACCATGTTGGCCAGCCTGGTTTCAAACTCCTGACCTCAAATGATCCGCCCCCCTTGGCATCCCAAAGTGCTGGGATTACAGGCATGAACCACCACACCTAGCTGTCATCAGCAATAGTATAATAAATTTAGTTTGTACAGTGATTTTGAACCAAGATCCCAAGCCTAGGGGCCACCAGCTAAACAAATCAAAAGACCATGTGGGAACTGAATGAGACCTGATGGAGTCTTTGAGTAGCATTTTAGGACTGGGTTGAATTAAAGCTGAGTGCCAATTCTATAAAAGGGACCACTAGGTGAATTAAAGGATTTGGGGGTCAGGTTCTGTCAAGTGAAAAATGTAGACATTGCGGGGTAAGAGTTTCATGATGATATGAAGACTTACTCTGACATCTTGGGAAAAGCGGTCTGCAGTGTGGAAACATCAGCTTCTCATCCTGATTTGTCGTTCAAATGTCTCTGGTTATGGCATTGGAATGCAGTGGTGAGATCTCGACTCACTGCAACCTCTGCCTCCCAGGTTCAGGTGATTCCCCTGCCTCAGCCTCCCAAGTAGCTGGCATTACAGGTGTGCATCGACACGCCTGGCTAATTTTTTATATTTTAGTAGAGACGGGGTTTCAACATGTTGGCCAGGATGGTCTCAATCTCCTGACCTTGTGATCCGCCCGCCTCAGCCTCCCAAAGTGCTGGGATTACAGGTTTGAGCCACTGCGCCTGGCCTGCCAAATTTCTTGATACTACAGAGTTCCTAGGAAAAATTCCATACCTGAAAAAGTTGGAAACTGACAGGAAGAATTTAAGATGGCAACCTGCCTCATACACACTGCTTATTGAAACTAGATAACAAATGCACGGGTGGTGGGGGTGGGGCGTAGGGAGAATGGAAAGAATCGAAAGAGAAAATCAGACCATGCGCACTCCGAACTTGGAGTAGCCAATCCCAAGAGACGCTTTAGGCGGGAAAATCAGAGTCTCCTGTCCCTGGGCCCTAGACTGACAGACCCCACACCCGCTGTGCTTGTCCCGCCTACTGTTCTGACTTCTGATTGGCCAGATGGAGTTCACTCCCCACTCTGATTGGTCCATCATCTTTGGGTGGTGCTGTTGCAGAATATTAAATTCTCCTGCAGCCATACTTTTCGCCATTTTTGCCGACCTCGCGGCTTGCTGCAGACATAGCCTTCTGTGTTGCAGACCTTGCCACTGCTGCTTTGTCTCTGAGGTAGGTTATCTTTTAGGAACACTCTAGATGGGCTAAGGGGGGCAGATAGAAAAGCGGGAAGCCTCTTGAGACCCCTCAAGTGCTTGGAGTTCTGGAAATCTTGAGCACAAAGAGTGCTAGTCCCCTGGCCTTTCAGGACCGCCATGATGGCGGATCCTCCCGCCTCGGCCTCAGGTATACAGGCCCGTGCCATCCCGGCCCCACGAATTTATTTTTTTGTACTTTAATAGAGACAGGGTTTTGTTCTGTTGGTCAGGCCAGTCGCAACCTTCTAGGCTCAAGCAATCCTTCCACCTTGGCCTTGGGACGCCATGTAGGCCGGGCCGGCCTTGACTTTGGGGCTCAAGCAATCCTCCCACCTCGGCCACGGAACTGCAGGCGGGCACCACCCCATCCCCACTAAGGTTTTTTTTTCTTTTTCTTCGTTAGGTGAGTTGTTACACAATCCTCAGCAGATCCTGACTTCCATGGCCACCGTCCGGCTTATTTTTTACTTTTTTAGGAGAAACGGTTTCGCTATATTGGCCAGAATGGTCTCGACCTTCTAGTCTCAACTATTCTCCTGCCTCAGCGTCAGGACTGCAGACATGCACCACCCTGCCCATGGCATTTTTTTTTTTTTTTTTAGTAGAAACCGGGTTTCGCTATGTTGGCCAGGCTGGCCTCAACCTCTTGGGCTCAAGTGCTACTCCCACCTTGGCCTCAGGACTACAGGCATGTGCCATTCCACCCCTGCTACTGCTAGGGTTTTTTTTTTTTGTTTGTTTGTTTGTTTGTTTGTTTGTTTGTTTTCTGTAGAGATGGGATTTCGCTATGTTGTCCAGGCTGGTCTCACCTCCTGGGCCCAAGCAATCCTCCCACCTCAGCCTTGGAACTACAGGTTCTGAGGTGTCAGAACGCCCCCACTCAATAAAATTATGCAGTCATGTCCCTGCCTCCCCAACAAGGGTCTGTACATCTTTTAGGGTAAGTCTACCTCTAGGGAAATGAAAACAACAGTAGCCAACCCCCTCCCAAAGACTCAAGGCTGCTTTGCCCTTAGGAAAGCTGTCATCTCCAATCAGTACCTCTCCCAGAGACCCTTGGCTCCCTGTTTTCATCTGACTTCTCCCCGTGTCCTTACTCGGGGACGGATAAGCCATGGATGGAGAAATGCAGCACCTGACTCCAGGTGACTGTGACCGGCCTTCAGTGATTTCCCCCTCCACAGGGCCTTTAACTTAGGATGTTTCTCTTGCAGGTCAGACTGCTCCCAGAGCCATGAACGGAGACGGCAGCTTTGCAAAGAACCCCAGTGATGATGAGCAAATATCAGAGAATAAACGCAAGGTGAGGTGACCTGGAGGGGCAGAGTAGTGGCCCAGGGGACAGTGCAGGGTGACCAAGTTTCTGAGAAGGGGAGGACAGAGGTGCTGGGGACAAGGAGCAGGGTCTTCGGGAGATCTGGGCCCTTGGGAGTCTCCCACCCTCGCTCTGTCATCACCTAGCATCCTTGGAGACAAGTCTGTTACCTGGCACTACATTAGGTGACCCTCAGTCCATTCTGGAAGGTGGAAAGAGATCCAGCCAGCAATATTGAAGCCCTACTATGTGCCGGGGAGAAGCTAGGGAAGATAGCCTGTGCCGTCTCAGCTGTGGCATCAACCAGGAGGGATTACCATCCCCACATTCAGCACACAGGAAGCGGTTCCCCCTGCTTGGCAGACTTGCCTAGCTGAGTGACTACCAGAATTTCTTTTCTTTTTTATTTTCTAGGCCTTTGCTGATATTGCCCAATACTTCTCTAAGAAAGACTGGAAAAAGCTGAAATACTCGGAGAAAATCACCTATGTGTACATGAAGAGGAACTATGAGGCCATGCGTACACTAGGTAACAGAAAGTTCTAGATACAGCTAAGTCTGGGGACACATGAGCATCCCTTTTCCTGCTTTGGCTACTTCTCAGGCTGCCGAAAGCACCCCACATTTTCCTTTTGTGCAGGGAAAAATCCCAAGCCAGCTTCTGGGTGTTCTGTTCTTCTGTAGCCTGTCAGGGCTGAGGGCAGGGACTGGCCAGTGGAGCTCATACCTGGACCTGCGTAGTTCCCCTGTAGGCGTCTGTTCTGATGAGCACAACTGTCCATGGCATCCTGGCCCCCCACCCTCGGCTTCTCTCTCTCTCTCTCTCTCTCTTCTCTCTCTCTCTCTCTCTCTCTCTCTCTCTCTCTCTCTCTCTCTCTCTCGCCTCTCACTCTCTCTCTCTCTCCTCTCTCTCTCCTCTCTCTCTCTCTCTCTCTCTCAGCTTCTCTCTTTTTTTTTTTTTGAGTCAGAGTCTCACTCTGTCACCCAGGCTAGAGTGCGGTAGTGCAATCATAGGTCAACTGCAGCCTCGCACTCCTGTAGCAATCCTCCTGCCCCAGACTCTGGAGTAGCTGGGCTACAAGCATGTGCCAGCATGCCCAGCTAATTTTATTTTATGTTTGGTAGATATGGGGATCTTTATGTTGCCCAGGTTTGTCTTGAGCTCTTGGCTTCAAGCAGTCCTCCCGCCTCAGCCTCCCAAAGTGCTGATACTACAGACATGAGCCAGGCCTAAGCTTGTCTCTTAAGGAATAAGCATTTTGCTTCTTTCTAGGTTTCCAGGTCACCATCCCACTTTTCATGCGTGATAAACAGGCCGAAGACTCACAGGAGGATGATTCTGATAGAGACTCTAACCCCGGGAATCTGCGTGAGTAGATGGGAAGGGCTGGAAAGGGTCTCCTCAAGCCCAGCTGCTTTTCTGCTCAGCTACCCGGGAAAGATCCTCAGGCATTTGCCTCTTCATACACATCAGGGCTGAGTGAAAAAAAAAAAAACACATTCAGAAAGTTCTACAGAGGCCACTCATATAAAATTCTAAAACATGCAAAACAAGAATATATATTATTATGGATAATAAATAAGTAAATGGTAAATATATTAAAACATAAATGTGAATAAAAAGCCATCAAACTCAGGAGACCGGCTGTAAGTGGAGGAGGGAGGGTAGGGATTGGTGAGGGCTTCACGGACAGCTTCAGCTGTGTCTTCTTTATAGTGGTTTTGGGGGTTTTTGTTTTTTGTTTTTTTTTTTGGTTTTTCTTTTTTTGAGATGGAGTCTTGCTCTATTGCCAGGCTGGAGTGCAGTGGCACAATGTCAGCTGACTGCAACCTCTGCCTCCCGAGTTCAAGTGATTCTCCTGCCTCAGCCTCCCAAGTAGCTGGGATTACAGGCACTGGCCACCACGCCTTTTTGTATTTTTAGTGGAGACAAGGTTTCACCATATTGGTCAGGCTGGTCTCGAATTCCTGACCTTGTGATCCGCCCGCCTTGGCCTCCCAAAGTGCTGGATTACAGGCGTGAGCTACTGCGCCTGGACTGTTTATCATGTTTCTAATATTCTGAATAAATAAATCAGATCTAACATAGTTGTGGGATAATGTTGAGATCTGACTGGACTCAATATTATTCCACATACTTTTCTGTGTGTTTGAAATACTTCTTTTAGGCCGGGCATGGTAGCTCATGCCTGTAATCCCAGCACTTTGGGAGGCCGAGGTGGGTGGATCAAGAGGTCAAGAGATCAAGACCATCTTGGTCAACAAGGTGAAACCCCGTCTCTACTAAAAATACAAAAAAATTAGCTGGGCATGGTGGCATGTGCCTGTAGTCCCAGCTACTCGGGAGGCTGAGGCAGGAGAATTGCTTGAACCCAGGAGGCAGAGGTTGCAGTGAGCCAAGATCATGCCATTGCACTCCAGCCTGGGTAACGAGCGAAACTCCATCTCAAAAAAAAAAAATGTTAAAAGTGTAGATCCGCCAAAAACTTCCAGAGTTTGTTTCATTAACAGGGTGTAGGTATTGGATAAATTTCTTATGAAAGAGGATGATAAACACATGTAACAAAGATTGCTGTTTATCTGTATTATCAAAACCAAATAGTCTTCTCATTCCCAAACAACCCTGATTCTCCGCGTTGAGCTTGGAAGAGGGTTTGAAAGAGTGATCCCTCATCCAACATAGAGAGCTTTCCCACTAGTCAGTGAGCAGAGATAATGTAGGGTGAGAAAAGACAGATTCCAGGTTAGAGATCTTTGTGCATTTCAGTATATAAAGGGGACATATGTGTTTACTTGCTCTTCTGCTCTGACAACACAATTATAAGACAAGGTCAGAATGTCCCAACTGTCTGGTAGACCTATTACTCCCCAGCTAAACAAGCCAGATTCTGCAATCTCACATAATCACTATAAGAGGTCTGAAAATTCAGTTCTTGAGTATCTGCCAAGTTTCTGACATTAAAGGAGTGTCTTTCTACTGAAAGCATTTCAGAGCCACTGGACTAAATCATGGTTCATCACACATTTCACAGCTTAAGTGACATACCTTATGACATTCACCCATTGTAAGTGTACAGTGATTTTTAGTTGTTGCACATCTTGAGTGGATACAGTTCAGATTCCCAACCAATTTAATCATTTGGGGGAAAGTCAAAGACATGTATAATGGAATAAGATGAGACTGATGGGTTTAGTAGCCTTTGCTAAACAATGAGAAGGAAAATTCTGAGTAGATGCCACAGGGAAGTGCACCAACCATTGCTAAAGATAACTCACAAGCAAATCTCAACTACTCAACAATGAGTGGACTCGTAATCCTCTGCTGCAGAATACCCTGATGCTGTGGAAGTCTCTCTAGAGTTTGGAAATATTTACTGACAAAGAAAAATTCTGATATATTCTCGTTTCAGTTGAATGTCATACAATGACTTTTGGCATGTTCCAGGGACTCTTCCCGCAGGTGAGTATCTCCCAAATCTAAAGTACCAGAGAACCTTTGTCCCTCCATGGTTGTGAACACTGGTAAGAGTGGAAGAATATCAAAAATGTCCTCACTGCCTCCTTCTCCTTGTGTTTATCACAACACCTGATGTAGCATCGATGGCTTGATAATAGTAACAGTTGTGATGGTTAATACTTCTTTTGTTTTCATAGTGATGCCAGATATTATTTTAAGCAGTTCACATGGATTAATTTCTTTAATCCTTAAGAAAACCTTCATGACGTTGTTTCTATTATCTCCAAATAATGAGTCACACACTTCAGTTGTCATCCATATAAAAGCCATGCGACTCGGCACAAATCTTCTATTTCTCTGAGCTCCAGATGCTTGTCCATTAAATGGAAGTAAAGAATCATAGTTGGCCAGGCATCATGGCTCACATCTGTAATCCCAGTACTTTGGGAGGCTGAGGTGGGCACATCATGAGGTCAGGAGATCAAGATCATCCTGGCTAACACCGTGAAACCCTATCTCTTAAAAATACAAAAAATTAGTCAGGCGTAGTGGTATGTGCCTGTAGTCCCAGCTACTCCAGAGGCTGAGGCAGGAGAATATTTTTTAACCTGGGAGGCAGCGGTTGCAGTGAGCCGAGATTGCTTGTGCCAGTGCACTCCAGCCTGGGTGACAGAGCAAGACTCCATCTCCAAAAAAGAGAAGAAAGAATCGTAGTTCATGCTGTAGATCATAGTTAGCAGCAAAATAATAAAGTGAGGCTATTGTGGTACAGAGATAGATGTTAAATAATTTATCTGAGGCACAGTAGCAGTGATAGTCTAATCCAGAGCTCCAAGCCATTTAAAGCTCATTCACGTTTTCATTTGTTGATGAAGTTCCGCTGTTGCTCACTAGGGCTTTACCCCATAGGGCCTGCTGGTGCTTCCATTTAGACACCCACTTTGCAACAGAAAGGACCAGCTGGCCTCTGCTCTGTTACCGGGGCCATTCACATGGATTAGGAATCACTTTCACTATGGGCCCCTCCCTACTGTGAGGTGCTTGAGGGCCTGGTCTGCACCTAGGGCATCTGGGAAGCCCCAGTTTCAGCCCAGGGAATCCCTCAGAGGCCCCTGAATGAGTGACTCCACAACTGCAGATTCAACTCCTAGAGGGTAAAGGGATCTGGGAGTTGAGTTGCCAGTGTGGAGACCGAATTCAAAGAAGGATCATGAAAGATAATAACTTTTATTATTACTACATTCAAGCAGTGTTTACAAGCTCAGAGAGGACTTTCCCTTAGCCTATTTTACATGTATCGTTTCATCATTTCATTAGTGAGGAAGCTGAATAAAGTACCTTGAGATTGTCGGTCAGTGACACATCTCAGTGCAACCAAAATTGGTATGGGTGCCACCTCAGTTAATTCCACATTCACTGTTGGTACCTCGGTAGATGGTATGGTATGCCATATCCGGTACTGCTTTCTTTGCTGCCTAGACTAATTTCTGCAAACTATTTATTTGCCTCTCCCTTCCCTGTATTCATCTCCCTACACCATCTTTTCCAGCAGTGTTTTGTCCCCTCTCTTTGTTTTTACATTTACTCAGCAGCTGTCTACAAGCTTATATGGGATACCTTGTATTTTATAGAAGCTATTCCTTTTGTAGACCTTGTGAATTCTTAGAATGCTATTCTTTTCCAAATCTGTACACCACACTCTCAATGACATGGAGACTTTTGCTGTTGGCAAGGATATCGGTCTTAAAAGAGAGTGAAGATAAGCATTCTAGCCCTGGAAACCCCATTTGTTTAGGCCCTTCTTTTCCCTTCTAACCTCCCAGGTTTCTCCTAACTGAGGTATGTATAACTCTCCCAGCATTGTTGAGAACATTGATTAAGGTAATGCCTGTGAAGACACTTTGTAAGCTCTAAAGCACTATAGAAATGCAACTGATACTGTTTATCTGTGATCTTCACATTACAAAGATCATGCCCAGGGAGCCACCAGAGGAAGAAGGAAATGATTCCGAGGCAGTGCCAGAAACATCTGGCACACAGAATGATGTGAAAGAGCTGTGCTACTCGCAGTGCACCCCGATGTACTCTGGAAAGCCAAGTACCTTGGAGATGACTACCAACATACCTGGTAAGAGGAAATAATTTGAGAACAACCCCTCTGGCTTCCCTGGCTATGTTCATGTGTGGGTTGGGTGTGTGGCATAGACCCCCAACAAGCCTGGGTCCAGGCTGGGCTGAGGAGCTTACCCAGCTCCAGATGAGATGTTAGACATGACTTCCAGAGACACAGACTTGAGTTGTCATCCATATAAAACCATGTGACTTGGGGCACGTCTTCTAAATTTTTTGAGCTCCAGATTCCTAGTCCATAAGATGGAAATAAAGAATCATAGTTAATAAATTGTTTGGAGGCATTAAATTAAATCTAGAAGGCCTGATGACATGAAAGGTGCTCAAGCAATTCTACCTGTGATAACCTGGGATCATATCTTACTCAGCTCAATGTCTGATAACCAATACAGCCTCAGAGATATTGCAGGTTCGGTTCCAGACCACTGCAATAAAGTGAGTCCCACTTTTTTTTCGCAGTGCATAAAAACATTATGTTTACACTATACTGTAGTCTACTAAGTGTGATAGCATTGTCTAAAAATGTACATAGCTTAATTTTAAAAATAATTTACTGTTTAAAATGCTGACAATCTTCTGAGTCTTCAGTGAGTCACACTCTCTTTGCTGGTGGAAGGTCTTGCCTCGGTGTTGATGGCTGCTGGCTAATCAAGGTGGTGGTTGCTGAAGGTTGGAGTGGCTGTGGCAGTTTCTTGTAAACAATGAAATTTGCCACATCGATTAGCTTTCCCTTTCTTGAAAGATTTCTCTGTAGTATGTGGTGCTGTTTGATAGCATTTTACCCACAGTAGAACTTCTTTCAAAGTTGAAGTCAATCCTCTCTAGCTATGAAAGTCCGAGATGGCATCTTCTTCCAATATAAGGCTATTTTATCTACACTGAAAATCTGTTTTTGGTGTAGCCCCCTTCATCAATTATCTTAACTAGATCTTCCGGATAACTTGCTACAGCTTCTCCATCAGCACTTGCTGTTTCACCTTGCACTTCTATATTATGGAGACAGCTTCTTTCCTTAAACCTCACGAACCAGCCTCTGCTAGCTTTACACGTTTCTTCTGCAGCTTCTTCACCTCTCTCAGCTTTCATAGACTTGAAAAGTGTTTGGCTCTTTCTCTGAATTAGACTTTGGCTTAAAGAAATGTGGTGGCTAGTTTAATCTTCTATCCTGACCACTCAAATTTTCTCTATTTCATCAGTAAGGCTGTTTTGCTTTCTTACTTGTGTGTTCGCCAGAGTATTTGTGGTATTATTACCTCCAAGAACTTTTCTTTTGCATCCACAGCTTGGCTGTTTGGTGCAAGGGGTCTAGCTTTCAGCCTATCTTGGCTTTCACCATGCCTTCCTCACTAAGCTTTGCCATTTCTAGTCTCTGATTTAAAGTGAGAGACATGTGATTCTTTCTTTTATTTGAACACTTCGCGGCCACTGTAGGGTTGTTAATTGTGCTAATTTCAGTATTGCTGTGTCTCAGGACATAGGGAGGCCCAAGAAAAGGAAGAGAGACGGTGAACAGCTCATCGGTGGAGCAGTCAGAACACACACAACATTGATCGATTAAGTTTGTCATCTTTTATGGGTGCAGTTCCTGGTACCCCCAAAACAATTACACACAACAGGGTGACTATAGTCAATAATAATTTAATTGTACATTAAAAAATAACTAAAAGAGTCTAATTGGATTGTTTATAACACAGAAGATAAATGCTTGAGGGGATGGATACCTTATTTTCCATGATGTGATTATTATGCGTTGCATACCTGTATCAAAACATCTCCCGTACCCCATAAGTAGGTATACACCTACTGTGTGCCCACAAACATAAAAAACAAAAATTATCTTAAAAGACTAAAAAACAGTTAGAATAATACCATTAAAGCTCACTGATCACAGATCACCATAACAGATATAGCAATAATGGAAAAGGGTAAAATTGGTGAGAACTTCCAAAAAAAATTGCAGTATCTGTGAAGCACTATAAAAATGTGGCACTGTGAAACAAGGTATGCCTGTGTGCCCTTAACAAATACCTGCTGAATGAAAGAAGGTATGGTATGGGTGAATGTTCCCATAAGTGAAGAGGTTGAGAATCTAAAGCTGACAACACAAGGAGCCCAAAGCTAAAACTTTAATTGGCATTTGGCCTGTATTGGTGTGGGTCTAAGGTCTCAGCCTCTCTAAGCCAGAGAATGTGAAAAACTGGATAAAGAAGGCCCATGGGTACTTGCTTATTCGTAAAGGATTTTATTTTTCCTTCACTTCTGAAGCTCAGTTTGGCTGGATATGAAATTCTGGGTTGAAAGTTCTTTTCTTTAAGGAATTTTAGGTGACAAAACCTAAAATGCAATAAAAAATTAAAAAATAAAAAAAAAGAAGGCCCATGGGCACTTGGGAGTAGGGAGGCATCTCCTTTTGAGAAAACAGAGCCTAACACTCTCAAATCTACCCAACTCTCATATTGCAACTCTTCATCATAGAACCCAAAAGGGCGACAAATGCCTGGACCCATAGACTGCGTGAGAGAAAGAATCTGGTGATCTATGAAGAGATCAGCGACCCTGAGGAAGAAGACGAATAACTGTAAGTGAATCTTCAGCTCATCCCCCACATCCCTGCCAATATGCAATTCTGTTACAGTACTGGTATCCCATCTTGTCACTTGTTCCCCAAATCATTCACTTCCCTTAATTTTCTGGGGTACAGCACTGAGGTTGAATGGTGAGATTTCCCATACTCTTTCTACTCTCTGCGCTGAATATCCAGGGATCCTCCCTACCCAGTATGCTGTGGGTTCCCAAATCCCATGTCAGCCTCAACCCTGATATGTGGGCCACACCTTCCTCTAGCCTAGGAATTCATAAACCAGGCGAGGAGGTCACTGTGGCATGAGCACATTGTTCACTTCAAGGAACAGTGGAGGGTGTGTGCAGGGTCTGCAGGTCAAGAGTTGAGATTGAGTTATCGGGCAGTCGGAACTCACTGCCACTTTTTTTTTCTCTCTCTTCTTGCCTCAGCCTCAGGGATATGACACATGCCCATGATGAGAAGCAGAACTTGGTGACCTTTCACGAACACGGGCATGGCTGCGAACACCTCGTCATCAGGTGTATAGCAAGTGTTCACAACAATGAAAAGTTGAACGTTTTTTTTAGTGTGCCAAGAGTTTGATGGTAGCTTTTCTGTTGTATTTTCTTATATGTGCTATTGGTAGATACTAGCGTTTCTGTTGATGAGCAAGATATACTTAATACATATTTCGATTTGTGTATCCATGCACCTACCTTAGAAAGCAAGTATTGTCAGGTATTCTCTGCATAGAAAAGCACCTACCCTCCCGGATGTGACTACTGAGGGCAGTTCTGAGTGTTTAATTTCAGATTCTTTCCTCTGGATTTACACACACCACACACACACACACACACACACACAAGTACCACTATAAGCATCTCCCATCTGCTTTTCTCCACTGCTATGTGTCCTGGTTAAGCCTCCCTCACTCTGCTTCCTGTTCAACATGCACTCACTGCTGCAGACTTCCTTCAATGATTCCCTGTATGCTACAGTTAATAAACATTTGCAAACTTTCTCCAGTTGTTTGTGCCTCTCAGTATTGTGCACACAGCACCATGCACGTGTGTATTTCTTTAGACATATTCTTAAAAGTGGAATTGCTGCGTCAAAGGAGTCATTTATTCAATGAAAACCTAAGGGATGCGTACTGCTGCTGAATGCCGTTCTAGGTGCTGGAGAGACACTGGGAACAAGGCAGACATGTTCCTGACTACCATTCTAGAGGAGGATGTTTCCGGTTGTTGCATTTTTGTTTGTTTTTTTTTTTTTTTTCCTAGAGACGGGGTCTTGCTCTGTCCAGGCTGGAGTGCAGTGACATGATTATAGCTCAATGCAGCCTTGACCTCCTGGGCTCAAGCTATTCTCCCACCTCAGCTTCTGGGGTAGCTGTGACTATAGGCACACACCATCACGCCCCACTAATTTTTTTAGATTTTTTTTTCAAGAGAGTCTCACTATGTTTCCCAGGCTGGTCTCAAAACTCCTGGGCTCAAGCGATCCTCCCACCTTGGCTTCCTAAAGTGCTGAGGTTACAGGTGTGAGCCACTGTATTTGGCCTCCGGTTTTTATTTTGATAGAACCTATACACTTCAGTCCTGGAGCAGGATTCTGCAGCAGGTGGTTAGGCATCTTGGCCTTGCTCTCCAATGATTTTGGGGTTCAAGGGCTGGGACGGTCCATTTGGAAGTATGTAGGAGGAGACACAGATGAAATTGTCAACTGCAGAACGTGGAGGAATCAGTAAGATGTGTCCACTGTAGACCCTATGGTGGACAGGGACTAGAAGAGTCCACTTAGTCTTTATGCAGTGGAGCAATCATGAAAGTCCACTGTACAGAAGCATGAGGCTGGCCATCAAGGGTCTCACCAACTAAGGGCCTGGGGGCTGGGATGGGGACGATGACTTGGGAATGGGACAGTTCTTTCTCGGATGTACCATTGTACGGTGCAGAGGTGAAACAGTTCTGGGGAAGGGAAGGGCAGAGGGGAGTCTATTTTAGAACAAATCATGTGTGAATGGAAACATTAAGGCTTCATTCACACACAGCGGGCTTGAAACACCAACCCCGGGTGGAGGCGGGATTGGAGCTGGTTTTGTTGTTTAGTTTTGAGAGAGTTTTGCTCTTGTTTCCCAGGCTGGAGTGCAATGGCACGATCTCAGCTCACTGTAACCTCCACCTCCCGGATTCAAGCCATTCTCCTGCCTCAGCCTCTTGAGTAGCTGGGATTACAGACACTCGCCACCACGCCCGGTTAATGTTTGTATTTTTAGTAGAGACAGGGCTTCACCATATTGGTCAAGCTGGTCTCGAACTCCTGACCTTGTGATCCACCCGCCTTGGCCTCCTAAAGTGCTAGGATTACAGGCATGAGCCACTGCACCCAGCCAATTGGAGCTGTTTTGACCGTCCATGGCCCATCACCTTGGCCTCCTGGCTTCTCCCCAGCCTTGGAAGGAGGACACTATCATCATGATGCCTATATTATAGATGAGAGATAGAGTCCCAACAAGATGGTAGGCATCTTGTCAGAGGTCCTACAGCTGGCAGGTGCAGGAGGGGCTGAGTTTGGAGCTCAATTACTTTAGAAACATTAAGGACAGGTGTGTGTGGTGGAGGGAGGGAGAATTGAACAAGCCCCAGGTTCTGTCCCCAGTTGCAAGGTGGAGGCTGTGGGATCATTTTCCCAAAACAAGGAGCCTTTGGAGAGGGAGGGTACAGGGAGGGAGAGGCAATCCTGGTCATATGGGGACAGTGGGACATAGAGACACACAGGGTGGGCAGAAGAGGGGCAGGCAAAGAAGCAGAGGAGACCCAAGGCCAAGTGTGGGCTATCACAGCCACCAGAGGGAGAAGGTGCCAGGAAGGAGATTGTGGGTCTTCGGGAGCAGCAGAGGTTCCCCAGATCTGAGAGCATACTCTGCCTGGAACTGCCAGAAGAGGTGGCTGCCACCCAGGTCACTGTGGACGTACCTCTACCTGTGGTTCAGAGGAAACAAATTCTGTTTTATCCCAATATAGTTCTGTATTACACAAATGTAACATTCGGCTACTAGATATGAGTGCCGTATCCTCCATGCAAATAGAGAAGAGGATACTCCAAAAGAGATACTGACGGATTTGATTTTTCTTTCTCCCTGGGAAAATGGAATCCATAAGTTAGGTACCCCAGCCCACAAGACAGGTGCAAGGCAGGGTGGCTGGAAGATTATGTCATGACAGGGAACATTTTTTCTTGGGTTCCTTGGGTATATAAAGCTTCCGACTGTCTGTCTATCATAGGTAAAGAGTGAATGTGGTCCCCTCTCCACAGATGTGTTTCTCTCCTTCAGTGAAGGGCTGAAGTTATATCAAGTTCTGATACATCACTTTTTAGTGTTTTTTTGAGACAGGATCACACTCTGTCGCCCAGGCTGGAGTGCAGTGATGCAGTTACAGCTCACTGCAGCCTTGATGTCCCAGGCTCAAGGGATTCTCCCACTTCAGCTTTCAAACTAGCTGGGACTGCAGGCACACACCACCACATCCAGCTAATTTTTGCGTTTTTTGTAGAGACAGGATCCCACTATTTTGCCCAGGCTGGTCTCGATCTCCTGGTTTCAGACAGTCCTCCTGCCTCAGCCTCCCAAAGTGCTGGTATTACAAGTATGAGCCACCTCGCCAGGCCTTCACTTTCTTTAATGAACAATTATCAGAGTTACATCTTAGAGGCAAAAGTGGTTACTGCCAGCCAATCTGTGTGTGGTGTTGGAGGGGAATCTGGCTGATTCAGACGTTTCTAACGAAATTTCAGATTAACCTACCTAATGATTATCCTAAGGCCCATTCCTGCTCCATGGTTTTTTTTTTTTTTTTTTTTTGATTCTGGGTTTGGAGTTTTTCAGAGGCTTTGTTACAAAGAGCATCTCTTGGCCTGACATAGTGACTGATGCTGTAATCCCAGCACTTTGGGAGGCCGAGGCAGGCAGATCACTTGAGGTCAGGAGTTTGAGATCAGCCTGGCCAACATGGTGAACCCCCCGTCTCTACTGAAAGTACAAAAATTAGCTGGCCATGGTGGCAGGTGCCCGTGAATCCCAGTTACTGTGGGGGCTGAGGCAGGAGAATCACTTGAACCCAGGAGGCACAGTGAGCTGAGATCACACCACTGCACTCTAGCCTGGGTGACAGAGTAAGACTCTGTTTCAGAAAACAAAGAGCATCTCTTGCCTACAGTGATTTGAGCTGTGGTCTTGTCTCCTTGGGTTTCTCTATCAGTCTGATCCCATCTACTCTATGTCCCAAGAATGCCTCGATATTTCTGGTGTACTGCTGACACGTTTTCTTATTTTCCTATACTGTTAAGAATTTACTTAAACATTTTCTTCCCAGTTCAATGGAATGTTGAGTGGGGCATGGGATATATCTGCCATCTTGCCCCAATCATCTGTTTTTAGATATTTTATGTATTTTTGTCACTATATAAGTGTAATTTTTCTCAATTTGGTTTTCTAAATGGTTATTGCTATGTGGAAAACCTATCTGTTATTGTATATAATATTTTGTTACCTGTCTGAGTACAGCTTCCCCTGCATTTTGGCACAAGATTCAATCTGTTTTATTTTCCAAAGAAAATTGACAGGCTGGGTGTGGTGGCTCACGCCTGTAATCCCAGCACTTTGGGAGGCCGAGGCAGGTGGATCACCTGAGTTCACGAGTTCGAGACCAGCCTAGCCAAGATGGTGAAACCCCCCTTCTCCACTAAAAATACAAAAAATAAAATAAAATAGCCAGGCATTGGTGGCGCACCTGTAGTAGGGCAGCTGAGGCAGGAGGATCACTTTAACTCCAGAGGTAGAGTTTGTGGTGATCCGAGATTGTGCCACTGCACTCACTCCAGCCTGGGCATTAGAGACTCTATTCTTAAAAAAAAATTTACTTCATAGGCAATAGATAGTTATAAAAGGACAATTTATGAAAGATTTCATAGAGGAGCCTGATGGAAAGAAAGGAAGTATATAACAATGCTCCTGCCTCAGCCTCCTGAGTAGCTGGAATTACAGGCACGCACCAACATGCCCAGCTAATTTTTTGTATTTTTAGTAGAGACAGGGTTTCACCATGTTGGTCAGGCTGGTGTCGAACTCCTGAGCCCAGGTGATCCACCCACCTCGGCCTCCCAAAGTGCTGGGATTACAGGCATGAGCCACCACCCACGGCCGAAAGGAAGTATATATTTTACAGAGCTGAGCAGTTCACTGCAAAAATCACCAGAACTGCTTTTTTCTCCAAAAATATTTCTCTTAAGATATTCTACTACTGGCTCTTCTAGTCCTTCCCTCTTTTCCAAATCCTCAAATTTTCCATTTCCTTATTGTGACAATTTTCCTCTGCCCAGAGCTGGGTCCTCCACAACACTTAACACTGTTTTGAGTGTTTGAATGCCTATCGTTTCAGCTCAGGTTCCCAAGGAAACAGACTTTGGGCCATATAGGACACCTCTAGACAAGACTATACTGAGAAACGCACTTGGAACAGTGCATGGGGACAGGAGGGAATTTATGTGCCTGGAGGTCACTCCTGCTTTATTTTCTTATTGGTCAAAATTTACTCCACAGGCATGAACTCCCCCACACTTATAGATTGCATCATCTGCCCCTTTGGCAGCTGACTGGGAAGCCAGATCCCACACTTTGAAGTGTAGTGTTTCATACAATCCAAAAGTGGTAGCAGAGGCCAGGCATGGTGGCTCACACCTGTAATCCCAGCACTTTGGAAGGCCAATGCAGGCGGATCGCGAGGTCAGTAGTTCGAGACCAGCCTGGCCAACATGGTGAAACTCTGTCTCTACTAAAAATACAAAAATTAGCTGGGCTTGGTGGCAAATACCTGTAATCCCAGCTACTCGGGAGGCTGAGGTAGGAGAATCGCTTGAACCCGGGAGGCAGAGGTTGCAGTGAGCTGAGATTGTACCACTGCACTCCAGCCTGGGTGACAGAGCGAGACTGTCTCAAAAAAAATGAAGCA